AAAATCAAAATTAAGCATTTCATTGCAAATACGTTAACTTTGGCAACAAAAGAGCCAATCATTTACGTTTTAGGCAAAGTAGACTTCAGTGCGTTCATCTAGGTTACTGATGACTACTGCTGTCTTTGTCATTTTGCCTATTCCCATCACACAGGACCTGCGCTGGCCAACACCGCCAGTGGTAAGATAAGCAGTCGTGTTCAGTGACCCGTGATTAGTAAAATATCCTTACTTGGCTGTTTGTACATATCTGATTTTCATTCATGTTCTGTTGAAGGGGGCGAATCGACTTGAACTGACCTCGAAAATTTACCGACAGATGTCCGAATCGAAGTGTTGGATGTTCAAAATGGCGGCTGAAATCCGCAGCCTGTAGGGTGACTCATTACACAGTAAATAATGGTGAGGTGCACACAATAACTGGTTATAACATGCGCACCGCAGCAAGAGGAATTACTTTTTCCATAAATTTCAAGTATGTACATGTCTGCCGTCTCTACACCAAAGCAGCAGATGTGGTCATGTGACAATCTCAAGCATGTGACGCATGGCAATCCCATTGCATCACAAAAAATTTGCTTTAGCCCACCACATGGAAAACTTTAAATGGTAGTTCCAAAGCCATGTTCGCAAGATATTTGACAGATATCAGTGTACCCTTCTAGTTTTACCCACTCCCAGTTAATGAGCTGTATGTTGGAAAAAGGTGAGTGATTGTGTAAGTGATAATTGTCCATTCAAGGTTTTATAGACGGGTGAGGTAGTGTGAATGCAGGTGTAAGGTATTGTTGAAGGGTAAGATATCAAGACTCTACCTCCTTTACCTAATGCTGTTGAAATATCAATCACTGCATTGTGTGGTGAGGGAAGGATTCCCTTCCACAGGAAAGTTTATAAGCTTAATCTGTAGACATATAAATAATGTTAGACATTCAGAGACGGCTGTGATGCTTTCCACTCCGTCAAATCATCGGTCCTCGCTACAGATTGGTTTTTTCACACAGATAACTTTTTTCCTCAAAATGGGTCTGGGAGCTATTAAATTCTTATTTTAAAAAAGTTCTTCCTTACTAATGTTCAAAAGGTGAGAGCTTCCATTAATGTATCTTCGTCGTCCCGTGCAGTAGAGAAATGGATGTGTTCGCCTGTAGGAGTCTGGAAGTAGAGTGAACTATCGACATTCTGCAGATATTTTCTAAGTCTACTGAGGAGCCGCAAGTTCTTTAAGGCCACCATATGTAAGCCCTAGCTTGTAATTTCGTGAGTCCAGCCTTCCTAACACTTTCCCATCCGAATCGGTACACTCGTTTGACCCTCCGTCCTTTATTCTCCATCCACCCCATTACACAGGCATCCTTTTATTTGATATTCATCCCATTCATTCAGGATCCTTGTGATATATTTACGCATAAATGCGTTTTTCATTCATTCTGAATCTCGTCCAGACATTCCTTATTCCCCTCTGCAAATGCATCTTAGACCGAACCGGTCCAGCACAATTACCAGTGGTTATGCAAAAAGAATGTTACATAGGAAGTAGGGTATGCTGAATTTTAGCTGCATATATCTGAACACGTTTTAATTAACGGAATATCAATACCTCAGCTTTTTGTTGGTAGTTGCAGAGTTTGTCTTAATGTTAGACGACCTCGCCCACATCCTGGACAGTGGAGTAGGGTGCTCCATGCGTTAAGATGAATTTGAGTTTAACTCTCGATAGCTCAAGCAGCAAACTGCGGTGGTTAGATCACAGCTCGGATGAACTCTACTGAAGTGTGTTTCGGTTCTGAGTTCGACTCTCTCTCAAAGGATTTATTTACTCCTGCAGGAGTCCCCTCAGCGGTCTCGGTTTCACCAATCGCTCTGGCTTCGAGAACACATCCACCAGCTTCCTTTTTATCGCCCCTTGATCTCCATCCCAAACAAATTATAGCATCACAGGAACATTGACAACGGGTGGTGAGACGAATAAGGTTTCGAGAGGAAAGATTGACTGCTTCCGTCATTCATGTGGGTAGGTGACAGTTTCGACAGCATAGGAGCAGACCTCTCGATTCAGTGGTACTGGCCAGTCTCCCGCGGCCCATATTAATTTACCCACAATCCCAA